AATGGAGCACTGGGTGTTATATGCAAACAATGAATCATGGAACACTACATCAAAAACTAATGATATAATGTATGGTGATTAACATAACATAATAAAATAAAATTTAAAAAAAAAAGCATTTGAACACTGCTCTTCCCAGAAGGGGACAACAGCAGGCAATGTAACAAGCAAGCATTTGAAGTTGGGCTCCCCTCCCCAAGTAACCATCATCCTGAGAAACTGTCTCAGAGATGTTTGGTTTTGTCCTCTAAATGGGGAACACATGCAAAAAATCATGAAGAGTGCCAGTCCGTAATCAGAAACAGGACTGTAGTTCTCCTGAGCATCACACCTGGAGAGACAACTGTTGCTTCCCCCACAGTCACTGCAAACCCAGGTTGGCCCCAAACTGACCTCCTCATCTCCCTGCTCACTCCCCAGATCTGCCTCTCCTCCTATACTGCGTCTCCTGTTTCACAGAACCTCCTACTTCTGCCTCCTCCCTCCTTCCCACAGCCCCTTGAACCTGATTCTTTTACTTCCACTTCCTAAGTATCCACTGAATCCACCCTCTTCCGTCTTGGCCTGTTGACACTGCCTTGGTTTGGGCTTCCCCCTTCCTCCTAACTCGTCTCTCAGTGCTTCAGACCATCCTCCCTGCAGCCCCGGGAGTGGTCCAAGGGGCCAATCTGACCACATCACTCCCTGCCTACAACCTTTAAGTGGATAAAGAAATATTTCCTGCCCTAGCTTTGTTTTAGCTAACAATGGTTGAGGGCTCACACTACGTTCTGCTGCTGATCTTTCAAGGCCAGTCCATATCCCACTTCATTCATCCACCCATCCATCCATACATCCGTCCACCCATCCAATATACTGAAAGCCAGGGACTATGCCAGGTGTTTAACAGACATTATTTAATGTAATCTTCACAACAACGCGCTGGGGGAGCTACTATTATAATTCCCATTTTGCGAAAGAAAAAAACCGAGGCTCAGAGAGGAAGTTGCTCAAGAACATATTGGTGAGTTCTCAGGAGCAACATTCTAGCAGCTGTGACCTATTCCCCGCCAAGGGGGAGGGCTTTGTGGAGAAGGCAGAGCCTTGGGTCGTAACTGAACTTTCAGCACACGGCCAGGCTGCCTAGTGTGGGGAACCTGGGGTGGAGGGGGGCACCGGGATCACTGAGGGGAGCCTCAGACCCCTCCCCCTTAATCCAGGACCAGGACAGAAACATCAAGGAGAGAAAGTGAAAGAGGACAGCTTCCCTTTCAGCCCCCATTCCTACCTGGTTCCAGATGACAATGAGGAGCTGCCCCTCTTCCCCCACCCTGCAGTATCCACGATGTCAGTGCCAACTCCAAGTTACCTGGCTTAGAAGGGGACCCACAGAACCAACCCCTCCTCCCCCTCCCGCATTACAGATGGGAAAAGTGAGACCTCGCCCAATACCTCAGCCTACAAAAGCCAGGATGAAAACCCAGTCCTCCCAGATTTGACCCAGTGCCCTGTCCGCCCTTCCTCCCTAGACATCTTTCCCAGGGAGCACCGACAGCCCGTGGCAGGGGAGCAGGAAAGGGGCCTTGGTGGTCACCTGGAACCCACCTGGGTTCTTGCCGGCTGGCCACTCCCCAGCTGTGTGAGTCAGGGAGGTCACTTCACATCTGTGTCCTCATCTGTACAATATGGGTATAGTGATACCAAGCTCACAGGGCTGATGAGACCTTCAGTGACTGAGACAGGCATGCAAAGCATCTGGAATATAGTGGGTGGTCAGTCAACCTCAAGCCCAGCTATGTTGTCCTCAAAGAACTTAGGGTGGCCAGGAACCCAGCCTGCCCACCACCCACGAACACAAAGGGCAGTATGAAAGCATCTTGGAAATACAGGTAAATGCTACGGAATCCTGGGAGCAGTCGTTTCTACCCATTAACAGCTGTTTGATAACCCAGACCCGACAAAGAGAAAACGGTAATGTGAACACACAGGAGCCAGGAGTGCCGGTTTGGAGTAGCGCTCACTATTGTCCCAGTGACCTCGAACCTGACCTTCCCCAAACACCGTGACTTGGCCAAAGGGCTTCTTCTAGAGGTCGGGTCTGCGGGCCGCCCACGAAGCGCGGAGTGGGTCGGGCTGCGAGGGCGGCTCGCGAGCCCGGGGGACCACCCCCTCCACCCCGCCACCCAGGCCGCCCCGCCCCGGGGCGCAGACTACAGCTCCCGGCATGCCCGTCGCGCGGTACCTGCCCGCCCCCAGCCGCCGCGCCCGGAGGATGCAGACGCCGGGGCGAGCCGGGAGGATGGAGGCCGGGGAGGCAGCGCCGCCGGCGGGGATGGGCGGCCGCGCGCCGGGCGGCTGGGGCAAGTGGGTGCGGCTCAACGTGGGGGGCACGGTGTTCCTGACCACCCGGCAGACGCTGTGCCGGGAGCAGAAGTCCTTCCTCAGCCGCTTGTGCCAGGGGGAAGAGCTGCAGTCGGACCGGGTGAGGCCCGCGCGGTGGGCGGCCGTCGGGGGCGGGGGGGGGCGGGGATCCTCTGCCCGCCGGAATCGGGGCTGGCCTGGCCGGGAACCCGGCTGGGTTTCTTTCCCAAGCGCCGGAGGCAGGAAGAACTGGCCAGAGGAAGGGAGGAGGAAGTGGATGGGAGAGTGAGGGATGTGCCCATTGCCGTGGCAACGGGACAACGCCAGGCCGCGGCCATTTGGAGCCTTCTGAGCACTGTTCTGGCCTCCTACCCCGGGAGGCTGGTGGATCGGGACTCTCCCTCTCCTTTAGGGCCTTCCCTCCTTCCCAAACGGGACTCCCACACTGGGGAAGGGAGTTGCTGAGGCTGCTTCCTCCGCCCTTTGGGGTGTGGGTGGCCTAGCAGTGCAGGGAGCTGGGTGGAGAAGTCCTGGGGTGCCTTCTGAGCTGGGCTTCATCAGGGAGGAGCCCTGGCCCGTCTGGCACCATTTCTGAGCTCCCATCCCGGCTCTGCTGCAAACTGCCTGCATGACCTTGGGTCGGACCCCTCCCTGCTCCAGGCTCAGCCTCCTGTCTGTAACCAGAGGAGGCTGGTCTGGAGGTGACCTCTAGGGCCCCCTCTCCCTCATTCCCTGACCCTCTGATGCTGTGACCTTGGGCAAGTCCCCTCACCCCTTGATGTCTCCGTTTTCCCCCTGTAGAGTTGTACGGATGCCCGCCCTGCCTCCCTGAAGGCCGTGCCTGTCCAATGAGGTAGCGCCTCCTTTGGAAACTTGTAAACATCCGACATCCCCAGAATGACTGGGGATCTGATGGAGATAGTGTAGGGTGGCTTCAGGGGAACAGCCTCTAAGAGGGACAATCACTGAACCTTCCTCTGGGTCGGGTGCCCCTCAGAATCCACTGGATGCTCACAATGACACCTAGTTATGGGAGAGCGGAGTTCGGCTCAGAGAGGCCAAGTCACTGGCCCAAGGTCACACAGTGAGGAAAAGTCAGAGGCAGGATTTGAACCTAGGTGTTTCTGACCCCAAAGCCTTTCTGCCCCAGCATGCCCCTTTGTTGCAGGGAAGAGCAGACTCTGCGTTCTCCCTCCCTCCAATCCATACTTCAGTGGGGTGGGGGGAAACCTCACTCTCCTCTCATGGCCTGTTCCCCTCATCTCCATAGGATGAGACTGGGGCCTACCTCATTGACCGTGACCCCACCTACTTTGGGCCCATCCTGAACTTTCTCCGGCATGGCAAGCTGGTGCTGGACAAGGACATGGCTGAGGAGGGTGAGTTGGGCCGGGGGGCTGGCTGGGACCTGCCTCCTAGCCCTGCCCTCTGCAGTCTGCCAGAGCCTTCCATCGGAGGTCCAAAGTCATTTCTCCCAGTTGGGGGGTGGGGGGACATTTAACTTCCCTGTTGCCTGCCTCCTCATCCCTGAAAAGGCTGAATCTCAAGGCTTCTGCCTGGACTGAGCCTCGGGGCTCTGCCGAGCTGACCAGCCTGAGCTTTTGCTGAGTGCCAACAGAGAGGTAGAAGATAGAGGGAGCCAGTGAGGCCGGCCGCCTCTGTTGGGGGCAGGGATGCCTTTTCTCCTGACCTCCTGGGAAGCCAGGTGTGAACGGGGCGGAGATGGGCATGGGAGGAGGAGGTCTGGCTCTCTCTCTGTGGGTGATCCAGTATCTCAGATGCCTGGTGAGGTCTGGCAGTCAGCAGGTGGGTGGAGCAGGTGACTCTTCCCCAAATCTAGCAGCCTCTGTCGCCCAGCTGGTTGCGGGTGGAGGTGGGGGAGGGGAGCCTGCTCCCCAGCAGGGGTCTGGTTCCCCTGGGGCCTGGGCAGCTGAGGCCCATAGATGCCCATTTCTGGCCCCAGCAGATAGGTGCGGAAGCCATGCCTGAGAGAATATCCTCTTGGCAAAGCCTCAGCCAGGAGCAGGGACTATAGTCAGGGCCAAGTCAACTCTTCCTTGGGGCCCAGGGCGTGGCTCTGGGTCAGCTGACCCAGCCAGGCCAGCTTGGACATGTCACTTCTCCTTTCTCCACTGTGTGTAGAAATTAGGGGTGGTGAGAGCATGTTCTGGGACAACAGGTGTCCTGAGGCCCAGTGCTTGTACCCCGTGGGCGTCTAGCACAGCCCATCCTTCCTCACTCGGGGCCCACGGTCTCCCTTCCTGACCCGCTTGGGACGTGGTCATCTCGAGGCCAAGTAGCTCCCCAGTGGGCTAGGGCTTCACCCTCAGAACGCACCGTGGGCACCAGCCCGGCCGCTTTCGGGCGGCTCCTCGGAGCACAGATAGCCAGGGCCCAGGAGCTGGGCCCGCGGGGAGGGGAGGGGAGCACTCCAGCTGAGTCCCAGCTGATGTCTGTCTCAGGTGCTGGGTTTCTCCCAGTTCTGCCCCTCCCAGCACCTCAGACGGGGCCGGGGCCCCCACTGAAGGGGCCGGAGGACCTGGGAAGAGATTTACTGGCTGTGTGACACCAAGAAAGTCACTTACGCCTCTGTGCCTCCAGGCCCCCATCTATGAAATGGGGTGACAGGAGCACCCGCCTTCCCAAGCTGCTGTGAGGGTAAAAGGAACGAATACAAGTCCGTCACTTAGCGCAGCACCCGGCACTGAGGACCCGTGATGCCACGTTAGCCAGCTGTCTGTCATCTGCAGGGCTCACGAGGTGAACTCAGGCAGCAACACTCAGCGGCCGCGTCCTCTGTGTCAGGTGCTGTGTGGGCACCTGGGACAGCAGGGTCCATCAGACATGAGCCCTGTCCTCAGGAGGCCCAGAGGCCTGTCAAGGAAAGGACCAGAGGCGTCCCTGCCCTGTACAAACTTAGGGGAATCGAAAGGTGTGGGGCCACTCCCTTTCACTGGCAAGGTGACTCACTTAGTCTCCGAGACTCTCAGTTCCCTCAGCTGTGTAGGGACAATAATGCCTGCTTCCCCATGTCCCCGGGGCTCATGATGAGCACGGGAGGGGCTTTGCACACTGTAGGGTGGGGGAGAGGCAGGGCACAAAGATGATGCATTTATAATGGGCTCTGAAGTCAGAGGAGCTTGAATTTGGATCCCAGCTCTGCCACTTACTGGCCGCGTTGCCTTAGACAGCTGCTTCTCTTTCCAGCCCTCAGTTTCCCCAGTTGTTCAGTGGAGGCAGTGAAGGTCCCTACTTCTAGTGCTAAGAATGAACTGCAGGAGAGAACATAAAATGCTTGGCCCAGTACCCGCACTGAGCATGTGCTTCAGAAACGGGAGCATGTGATAGGGGGCCGCCAAGGTCCTTCTCGTGGTGGCGTTACTAGGCTCCAGTCCCAGCAAGCCTCTGCCTCTTGCCAGCCCTAGAGCAGCCCCCAGATGAGGGCCCTGGCAGGTGTCCCTAGGTCACCAGGCTCAGCACAGCAGGGATGCAGGGCCGGTTGGGGGGCAGCATCTCACCCCTTCCACAGAGGGTGTGGGACCCAAGGAAGGAAACGTCCCCTCCTGCTTGAGCCCTGAACTCAGAGATGCTCATCACCGCCCATGACTGGAGTGGGAGTGGGTGTGGAGCCAGAGGGGACAAGCGGAGAAGAGGAGAGGGCACAGGGGCCACCGAGTGACCCGGGGGCTGCCCCATCCGTGCCAGGTGTCCTCGAGGAAGCCGAGTTCTACAACATTGGCCCGCTGATCCGCATCATCAAAGACCGGATGGAGGAGAAGGACTACCCGGTCACACAGGTCAGGAGCGGCAGACCAGCAGGGCAGTGGGAACGGAGGCCGGGGCAGGTGGGGGGAGGCGGGAGGAGGCATGAGAGAGGTGGGGAGGCCAAGCTAGCCTGTAAAGGGAGGCTGTGGTCCAGCTCCCGGGCTGCCCAGCGAAAGCCCCAGCCTGGGAGAAGCACGCTGGGTTCTGTCCCTGATGCGGCTCTGTTCACGGTGTGACCTTGGGCCCATCACGCTGCTCCTCTGGACCTTGATTTCCCCTTGTGGAATATAGAGGTGCTGAGACCTGCACTCTTCCCTTCCTCACAAGCAAAATGGGGTCCGTGTGGAGGGACGGGGGCCCTGTGGGGGCCGTGCAGGATGAGTAAATGATCCATTCTGTGGGGTCAGGTAGTACCCTGGTGGGCAGGGCACGAGCTGCTGGGGTTCACATTTCTGAGCTTGGGCCCTGAGCCCTGAGCCCAGTCTGTAGGAGGAGACGGAGGGATTCTCTGGCCACCCTGGGGGAGACATGGGTGCGGGCGGGCGGGCAGGTGGTGAGGCACCATCTCTCCCAGCCCCAGGAGATTGAAGTGGGGAGGCTCCATGTCGTCCTTCCTACCCCCTTGTATCGCCCGTGTTCCGGCGCTGCCACATTTAAGCTAGGTGGCCGTGGGCAAGTAAGACCCCCTCGGAGCCTCAGTGAAAATCCCATAACCCCTAGGGTTTGTGGAAGGATTAAGTGATCCTGCAGGTCGGGTGCCTGGCACGTAGGGGGTACTCAGGACGTGGCTGCCACCTTCCCTGGCCGCCCCTGCCCCTCCTCCTCTCCTTCTCAGGGTATGTGGTGTGGGTGGGGAGAGAAGGAGCCGGGGGGATGACAGGTGCGTCTGCCCCTCCCGTGGGTGTCCTCCACGTCGCCTCTCCGCCTGCAGGTCCCTCCCAAGCACGTGTACCGCGTGCTGCAGTGCCAGGAGGAGGAGCTCACCCAGATGGTCTCCACCATGTCCGACGGCTGGCGCTTCGAGCAGGTGCGCGGGGGCCCTGGGGCCACACTGGAAACCCCTGAGCTTCCGGGCAAGGCGGGCTCTTCCGTTCCGCGGCCCCAGGCTTGGGTTCCCCGCCCGAGCCCCCCAGCTGTCTCGCCGACCCAGGTTTCGGAAGGGCCACACGGGGCCACAGGGCGGCTCTAGGCATCCTCTCTGGGGGCGGGGGTCTACACAGCAGTGCGAGCGAGTCTCTGGCCCCCAAACGACAGCTTGGGGGCAAGGAGACCAGAGCCACATGAGCAAGCGGGCTCCCCCTCGGGTCAGCACCTCCTGTGACATGCACAGGTGCAGCTCCCAGGGTCCCTGCATGCGACAGGCCACATCACGGCCTCGCCACGTCTGGGAAGTCCAGGCAATGGCTTCCCACGAGGATTCGTAGGGAGCGATCGTCCCCTGGTCCACGTGCAGTTCACGTAGCAGGAGACACTTATCACAAGTGGTGTTGGCCTTGCCACGCAGCTCGGGGCGCACCTCTCAGGTTTCCAGAGGAACCGAGCCAGCAAGTTCACCCAAGGGCAAATGTGTCCGGAGTGAAGGAAAAGGGTTCAGCTAGCCCTTTCTCTGCGCCCCCCCATAGCTCCTTGCCTGTGGAGGTTGAAGAAGGGAGAAGGCCCGGTCTCTCCAGGATGGAGGAACAGGCCCCATCCGGGAGCCAGAGGCCTGGATCCACCACTTACGTGCCACGTGACCTTGAGCTAGTTGAATCTCCTCTCTGGGCCTCAGTTTCCTAATCCGTGATGTGGGCCAATAGTGCTCCCTTCACAGGACTGTCGTGAAGATGGGAAGGGCCACTGATAAAGTCCCTAGCCGAGGGTAGGACTTGAGACACTGGAGCCAGCCAGCATCATGCAGACTATCAGTCTGGAAGTCTACAAGATTCCAGAGAGGACTCGGGATCCTGGGTTCTAATCCCTGTTCCACCACCTCTTCAAGCCCTGTCTGCCAGAGGGGCTGATGGTTTTCACTTCCTGTCTGGTGAGGGTTCCTGGGGGCTGAATGTCATGCACAGGGCCTTGTGGTTGTGGTTAAGCACAGGGAACCCCAGAACAAAGGTGGTGCTGCTCTTGAGAGCCTACGGGAGTCTTTGGCAATTGCATGGGCTCTCAGAGGCTGGGCTGACAGCTCAGGGGCCGCTGCTTATCGGCCCTCTGGCCTAAGGAATGGACAACGTGTTCTACCTCTGCTTCCAAGAACGAACAGAATATTCTTTGGGGCCCCATCATGCCAACCCTACCCTACAACTTGGTTCTGGGGCTGCTTCAGCTACATCTGGGACGAAGGGGGACAACCTGCCCATCATTGGCCTCCACCTGCTTTTAGAAAATGGCCTCTAGATCTGGGGCTGGGGTGAGGTGGGGAGCAGCAAAGATAAGGCAGCCTTTTTCCAAGGAACCCCCCGCCCCAGGCTTGGCTGGACCTGGAAGCAGACCTGACGCCTAGGTGGGGGATCGGGAGCAGACTCTGACTTCCTATGGAAACTCGGGGCTGGGCCTGAACGGGAACAGCAAGATCAGGACATAAGTTGGTATCTTGACCAGTGCTGATGTCAGTCCCCCTTCCCTGCTGGCCGCCTTCACCCCAGCCTGTCATCTTTCTGCCCATGCTCCGCCAGCTGGTGAACATGAGCTCCTCCTACAGCTATGGAAGCGAGGACCAGGCAGAGTTCCTGTGCGTGGTGTCCAAGGAGCTCTATAGCTCCCCGCACGGGCTGAGCTCGGAGTCCAGCCGCAAAACCAAGGTGAGCCCCCAACCTCAGCTTCCCTCCCCCTCCCCCCCC